TTTAAAGGTTAATCGCATTTCAAAAATAGAGGAGGGGAGATGCATTACAATGCTTCATTGGGAAAATGTCAAAAGCCATTAGCTCCTGGCTGAAATATATGAAAGGGAGCAGCATTAACTTTGCTCTTCATTTTGTGTGGAGGAGAAACGAAGCATTTCACCATTTACCTTCGGGACTTAAGATGCAACATGTTTTTAAGGTCAGTTCCTTTGTTATAGAAATTCTCTGGAGAAATATGAAATAAAATTTATTTTCCTTCGCAGAAACCCTTAGTCTTTAACATACCATATCATTTATTCACTTATGTATGGCACGAGTGTTGATAAATATACGTGCACGCATATGCACATATATGTAGTGCACTAAACAGCTGTGTATTTCACAAGGACAATTTTCTTTGTCAGTGTGCTACATACATAATGTCCATGTTCTGGGAATAGCTTGCCTGGAATAGTATCACCTGCCAGCTAAAACAGGTCGATAGGCTGTATTCATACATTCTAACCTCCTGACTAGTTTCAACTACAGCTATTTTTAACTTGCCAGGGGATATTTCTTATCTTTCGCCTTCCAAAAATACATACTTTCAAAAAATGAAAAAGAAAGATTTCCCTTTTGGACCTGCATTTATTTTTCTAGAGCTAAAATTTGTCTGGTTTAAACATCCCAACTAACATGAATTTCTACTGGACTGAAGATATGTTTTATTTCTTTGGAAAGAGGGAAGTACCCAGCTTTCCAAGAGAGACAGGCAGGGCTTACATCTGGCTGTGAGTAGTATCTACATACTGGATTTCTAAATCAGGACATTTGTCAATACGTTTTATTTACAAAAATGTTTTTATACTTAACGGCTCTACTGCTCCTACTTGGGGTGACCTGCATATTGCAGAGCTCTGCAAACTCATACTAAAATATCTTTTCTGCTGCCCGAGCCTGTATTTCATCAATGGCTGCTGTCCATAAACTGTGTGCACCTGACTAGCTCCATGTGTGCATCTCTCCCCTGACGTGCTTTGTGACCTGACCCTTTGCTCCGGACGCTGTGTCCTTCCCAAACACTCCTGTCTCTCGCCTCTGTGACAGGAGACAACATGCAGATGATGCTTTCCCGTGGTCTTGCTTGTCAGCTGTAGCCACAGATGGGCTTCCTCTCCCTTCACTTTATTCTGCTTCTACTTGGGATGTACGGGTGGAGTAGTCCTTTTTCTTAGCCTGGTTTTCCAGGCTTCCTGCTCATTTCTGACTAAAGGTGGAAAGGGCTTTCTGCAGTCCTGCAGTTCTGCAGTTCACTGCGTGTGAACACAGCATTTTAAATCTGATTCTGGGATCTCCTGTGCCGCTAAACTCCGGCCTAAAATATCTGCGATTTCTTAAGCAAGGCCATCCAGTCTAGCTCAGCTAAGTCTCCTTAAGCAAGCATGGTATTTTATTAACAATATATCTTGAGAATCAGTCATTACCCGTATATCTTAATCACATGGCAGGTATTGGAGCACCTCCAGCAGCTTATAGAGACTAACTATAATAATAAAGAAATAAAACGTCATGAATGATGAAGCCAGAGAGCAGCATGCCTGGGCTGAGGGATGCTCTCCCTGTCCTGTCAGGACGAGGGGCCAGTCAGGGTTCCCAGACTCCAGCTAAATTCAGTGTTTCCCTATATGCTCACCTTACAGCATAAAACGTTTTCCCTGCCAAAAGAAAAGGGACAGTTCATGGGTTTAAATCTCCTCATCTGTGTATAAGTGTTCTTAGTTCCACAGAATGATCTGGGTAATTCTGGATGATCTGTATCCAGGATGGTCCTTTACTGAAGGGAGTCATTAGTAAGCCAAAGCTCCGAGAGCTTTGTGTCTACTTATCTGCCCTTTTAAAATTTAAAAGAAGACAAAACCAGCTTTAAAGTACAGAGGAAGAACAGAAATCATGCCACATGATTTTACTGTTGAAGGGTTACCGCAGAGATGCACTGTGTGAACGGGCTGAAAGATTTCCACCTTAATACGGAGCATGAAACACAGCTAGTAAAATAATTACCGACAGTTAGCAAGTCAGCAAAGGGAGCGTGTATTGTAGGTAGCGTTGCCGTTTATAATTATCCATTGCAATCATTAATGACCTCTTTGAAATGATTTCTGTTGTAAATCCCTCAAGAGAGTGGCACCAGGGAGTTTGGTGTTGGTAGCCCGCTTACCTTCCTCCTTTGAGACCACAACTATGGAACACCAACGGGACAGCACTGCTTGATTCTTACAGTGACAGTGTAGTTTCCTTTGATTTAAAAGTCCACTTTGTTTAACGTTTGTATGTATGTGTTTTAATAATATGTTAGTCTTTGGGTGCCTTGGCTTTGCCCTTTGGGCTGCCTCTTCTACAGTTGGACACACCGTCAGTCTGTCCCTTGTGGCGTGGCGCCATCTTCGCTTTCTCCTTGACCTATGTGATAATGAAGCGAGTTCTTCACAGTGTTTACAGTTGATATATCTTAATCTCGGATTGAATAGTTTACATTTTTTCCTCAGCTTTCAGCATGACTAATAATGAATGTAACTGTCTTTGGAAGCAAGTCGCAGCACCCACCCTGGATTGTTTCTGTAGCAAGGGCTGAGTTGGTTCAAGTGCATTTCTACAAATCTGTGTTAAAATTAAAAAATCCAGGAGGTTGCTGGCTGGTCTCTACAGGAAGAGATCTCTTAGTGAAGTATTTTGGGCAGGGCACAGATCCCAAATTCGTTTCATCCCCCTGAAGCTGGAGCAATGAGGCCACGGCCAGGCTCATCCTGGGCTGCTACTTCAGCCACTTGAGTCTGCCGCCATTTTGTGCTCTTACAGGCTGGTGAGCCCCGCTCCCCTCTGACAGCCTGTAAACATCTCCATACGTCTATTGTATTTTTGCTGCACTGTTTCTGTTTATTGACGACCAAAACCATAAGTGCTGGCCCAGAATGGTAGCATTTTTGTTTCCTTGAAAGCCTGAGGTAAGCTCGTCAGTGGGGGAGCGAGGCCCTGAGGCCGCAGCAGGGTCTCATAGCTGGTTTTTAAGCTGTTGGATAAAAAGGGGTTGAGAACCAGGCCCTTGGCCGGAGGCTGGGATGTGTTTGCTTACACCTACATAAGGCTTGCAGATTGGTCTGGAAAAGTGCTTTTTGAAACTTGGAAACATCCTGAAAATTTATTCTTGTGGGCAACCAGAAGGCCTCTTCTCAGGCTCACGCCCGCCCGCCTTTTATTTACAGGCAGCCCCTTGTGTGCAAGGAGGCTGATTCCTCAGCCTTGGTTTTCAGAAACTTTTTAGAGATTATTCATTTTTATAGATTGACTCCTTGACTTTGAAGATCAGCTTGGTAGTCTGGCAGCTGCTAGGTGTCTCGAAACACTGTGAGGGGACAGCATTTTGCTGTCAGTCAATTTGGGTTTGGAGGCAGAGAGCTGTGAAGGCACACGGTGAGTGGGATTCTTCAAAAATAAATACCCTTTGCTATACACTGCAAGAAATAACCACATCTGCTATGACACGAGTGAGTGTAGTTCCGATGCCTACACGTAACTATTTCCTGTGGGATCTTTTTAAGGGAAGAGTTGGTGCAAAGAAGAGATTATTTTTTGCTACAATTCTCTGTTACAGCTAGATAATTACGTTTAATCGGGTAGGGGTTCATCCATGCTAAGCTAGATATTTAGATTTTTGAGAATTTTGTAGGGATGTATTTTTTAAAATTACATTTCAGGGAGAGCTGTGGTGGTTGGTTTTTTTTAGAGCTGCACTTCATAAAAATACAAATGAGTGAAAAATCTAATTCCTCAACATGTGGTGCTAAGCTGTCTAGCAGCTCTAGTATGTTCTGTCAACCCAAAGGCATATTTTTAGCCTGACTCTCTGCTGTGCATGTTCTCACAACAGGTGCTTGATGAGACTGTTTTCTTTGTTTATAGATGAGGTCTTGTCCGAAAACTTTTTGGACTACAAGAATCGTGGCGTCAACGGCTCTCACCGTGGTCAGATTATCTGGAAGATTGATGCCAGCTCTTACTTTGTGGAGCGTAAGTGTTTTTCAGATCCTGCTATGATATAATTCAGTCACTGCACAAAGATAATCGAACTGCTTAAGTTGTTCTTATCAAGTTTTTATGCCCAATATGTCCTTTAGGAAAGCTCAAAAACGTTACCAAAATCTTTTAATGTATTGAGAGGAACTGAAACGTTTTATGGAGTAGAAAACCAGAGTTTCCGCAGTAAAATAAATTTTGTGGATGTTGACTTATTTACTTTTCTTTTTTAAATACAGTTGTGAATAAGTGCTGTTATTTGGACTATATCATTAGTAATGAACTGCATTAACTTTAATATAGTATTAAGGCGAAGAAGAACTCAGGCACATAATCTCACTCCAGGAAGATTCACACTGACTTTTAATTGGAAAACTTCATGGTGCATCTGGCTTCCACCAGATTCAGGTGGATTCAGTGCTAAAAAGGGTCAATTCCTGATCATCATCTAGACTGATAAAAGGATAAAAATGTGTATTTGTAGCAAGCTTCAGTGATTTCAAATTAAGTGTTCCTCATTATATTCATATATTACTCAGGGCATCTGATGCAATGCAGTGTAACTCTTTTCCACCTCCTTAGCAATCAAAATACAGAAATACTGAATTTGCTTCTGCACCGTACTATGTACCTTGTACAGCAAGTTAAGAACATTTCTGGCTTGGCTGTCCCACATCCCTGACCAAAGTGAACCTGACCATTCGAGTTCTTCCTCTCTTTTCAAAGAGTTACCATGTGATAATGCACATGGAATTCATGGTCATCTTTGGAGAACAGAAATAGGGTACTCGAGACTGGGGTGAGATCTATAGCAAAATATCTATGGTGAAAGGACAACGTGTCTCCTTAAAGAGGAGTTAAGTATGAAGAAGCCTAGCATGCAACAATTTCAGTTTTTCAACTGTACTGAATATTTCCAATGATCTACCTTAGCCTCCTGGGCAAAATTTGGAAGTTTTGTATAAATTGCATGATAGGCAGGTATATCTATTTAAGACTGAATTTGAGAGCAAGCAAGGGAATCTTTGAAACAAAAATTCAGGGCAAAATTCAGAAGTTTTGTATAAATTGTATGATAGTCAGGTATATCTATTTAAGACTGAATTTGAGAGCAAGCAAGGTAATCTTTGATACAACCTAAATTCTAAAGGATTTGGAAAGGATATGAGTTATGCTTGATTAAATTAATCTATGACTTTGACCTTAAGTAACTGGTATCAGCAAGGATACTACATGCAGACATTTTACAGATACTCAGCCCTAGAAGCAGATTATCTCTTTGCAGTGTGAAGCACTGCTGAGGGTCTGTAACTCCTAGTGTTAAGTTAAATTGAGAATGTTGTTCTAAAGAATTAAGCGAGCTGCTGAAATTTCTACAGGATACTTATATACCATGTTTAAAAAAAAACAACATGCAAACATTTATGGGAAATTGTTTAATATATAAGAACATTGGTTTTAGTCATCCTGATTTGGGGGCAGAAATACATTACAGGATCTAACCTTTAAAGCAGACTCTAATTTGCAGCTGGTTCTTTGAGCTGTGGTTACTGGTCCATGAGACAGGATCTAACCTTTAAAGCAGACTCTAATTTTGCAGCTGCTTCTTTGAGCTGTGGTTGCTGATCCATGAGAGTGATCGTGCTTTCTTTTAGCTGTTAAAGAAGTGTGAGGAGGAGATATAAAATGCCAGAACTGGGTTTTGAAGTGGCCTTACTACCTTGGTTTATTGTTAAGGGGTGGAAGTGGGACTGGGCTCCGGTAGCTTTCCTGCCTAATTCACAACAGAAAAGAAAGAGGCAAAGTGAGAAATGCTCAGGAGAAAGCCTGTTCAGGTGGGCCACATTTCAGTAAGGGCTCAACTGCATGATGAATTATGTCAACTTAATAAGTTGTCCCCATTAGCTGAGACATAGTAGCTGTTGTTAATTGTTTGCATGCACATTCTTCACTTGCCCAGTTGTAAGAAAATGTGATTTGGCATAACATCCTTCACTGATGCTTAAAACTGAGTCGTACTGCACGGAAGTTCGGCAGCCCACGCTTGACGAGTTGCTGCCTCTTGGTAATTTGTTACGCTGCCATCATTAGGTTGTGAATCTCAGCTCTGAGATTGTGTAGGACAAATCATTGCCCTGTCCAGAATTAAAACAGGAGAAAATGAAGTAGGCAGTAGGAAATAGCAGCACATCCAGATACCCTTACAGCCACTTGACTATTGAAAGGGGTAGTTAAAGCAGTGAGAAATGTTGATGTATGTGAATTTTATCTATCTAGAGGCATATTTGAGGGTTCCTGCTCATTGTTGAGACTTATGTGTGAAAGTACACAGCTCTGCAGATGATTAAATGTTATGATAAAAACTGCAGTGTCTGAAAACCGCATGTATTTTCTATCCTAAGGGGATAGTGTAAACCACCTTCCTTCAGACTTTTATTTTTTTGGACAGAGATCATATCTTCCTTTTCTGTTGCACAGCACACAATGTGGTGACATTTGCAGGAAGGGGAAAGATGCTGGTCATCAAAAGCAAACTCACCTAAGAAATCTATTTACCTTTTCTTGCCATTCACGACAGAACTGAGAGACCCTGGAGGACAGGGCAAGGGTGTGTTCAATGGTAACGTGGTACAAGAATTACCTTGCTGGTCAAAAGCTGACCTGGTATTCTGTCTCCAAAAATGGCCAACAGTGTAGAGTTGAGGAGGGTATAAAGGTAAGAAGTGTTAGTGAGACTTCTAGCTGGAATATTCTTAGCTTCTGTTAATGATAGCTCAGGTACTTCCTGAGATAGGTAGTGTTTTTATTTAGTGGTTGTCAAGGCGTACGGTAAGTAGCTAAGACGTGGTAATTTATTTTCAAGGGATCCGTATTGTTTTTCTATGCATTATGTTATACTTCCCTTAACTTGTTATTGATTGGAGTCTTGCTGATTATAGCATTAATTCTTTATAAAACAGAGTAGCTCACTTGCAAAGGCAGCCCTTAATTTCTGCTCTTGTTTTTCCTGTAACCGTCTGTACTTCGGTATCTGTTCGCCGCTTGAGTCAATATTGGCAATTTATCAACTACACGGTGATTCAGAAAACGTTCTGGTATACACTGCAGTGTTTGGCCCACCACAGCTGGCAGGAGCCACGAAATCACAGTATGGCCAAATAAAGAATCAGCCTTACATAGAGAATTTAAAGTTCCCAAAAAACTTAAGGCACCCCACGCAGACTGGTTTGGTTCCTGTTCTTGAAATGTATAAAGGCTTAACATTTTTGTTGGTGCTATTGGGTGAGGTGAAATAGGCTTATTATTGAGGGGCCATGGGGATCATCCTGTCCAACCTCAGAAATGAAAGTTTTTCTTTTGACACAGTTAGATTTTAAGACTCTCCATGGGGTGTTTTTGTATCACATTTAAGGAAATTACCATTATGCTGTGCTCAGTCAGCCACTTGACATAAAGAGCTTAAAAAGACATTTTTGAACTTTTTTTTTTATTATTATTAAAGAGCTATGTGAGGGAGCTTGAAAAATCAAAGGTATTAAAGATTGGCTGATCTGCAACAAAAATGAAGTTCCCATTAATATGAAAAAAGAACCGTTAGGAATGAGGTCAAGTAAATAGCGAGTTATTACTCATTTTCTGTATTTTGAATCTGGAGGCATATAAAATGTGTTTGGGAGTATTTTGTTCAAAAGCCTTAATGTTCCCCAGTCAAGTATAATTTCTTTCCTGAATTTTTGAAAAGTAACAAGGAAATGAATTATGGTGCTCTGACTGGGTCACCTGTAGTCATTAAACACAAAACCGCTGTTTGGATACTTAACAGAATACTGACATCTAATCACTGTAGATGGTAATTTGCATGCAACGGTCTGGAACCTGGAATAGGAGTGAGTAAAGGCAAAAGGGGTTGGAAATTATTTTCTTCATGGTGGCAGGTTATCACAACAAATATCTTCCATCAGACACAGCTGAAATGATAATTTCTGGCAAAACCCATCAACCTGGAGGACCACACTAGGCAGAAGCTGCGCACGTGCTGCCGCTGCGGGCAGAAGAAATTAGCAGTGTTGTGAGAGGGTTTGTAGAAGGGCATCAGGAGGGGAGAACGCAAAGGAAAGCACGGCAAGAAATTGAAACCCCTTTTTGTGTTAACTGCACTGCTTTTACTTTTATAAAAAAACTGGAGTTCTGCAATTTCAGATGCTTCTCTGCTGTAGAAGTTATACTTTCACGGTGCTCTCAGTGGGTTGCTCAGTCTGAGTCATTAAGGGTTTCTTCTTCACGTATGTTTAAAGTATCACCAGGTTAAGAAAATGCGTTTTGTGTGGTAGGTCAAAGTAGCTTTTGCTTTTTGGAACATGCTTCTATGTTTTGGGGGTACTTGGGCAAAAGGCATGTTGCTTTTGAATTTGGTAATAGCCTGGTTTAAGAGAGCCTTGTCACCTTTAATAACAAAGATAATGTCTTACACATACCCATACAGCATTTTCAGATGCCACAGCCATTTAAAGTTTGTGTTTGATCTAATTTTTCACCTTGAAAAGGACTAATATCTTTCCCGGAGAAGCCTATGCCTTTCCACTTTGCATATCACAACCTTGCAATCGAACGGTGCCAGTCACCAACGTGCAGCATAATGTTGTCAGACAGATACGTCACTGGTGTGAGCCCGAGAGGGAATTGCTTCCAAACTATCCTTAAATTCATGAGGAAAGTTTTGACACTATTCAGAATTGCACTGAAGACAGCCAAATACCTGGAACCCGCGTTAATCAACCGGCCTTTCTGCAGATCGTTTTACTACCTGGCAACTAAGAAAACCATTTCCAGGTGTTAATCAGTCATCTGTGTGGCACTTTTATGGGGGAGCGTATGCAGCAGTTGTTTGTTTAAATTTGTTGTTGTTACAGCACTTTTTTTAATAGTAAAGATGGGTGATAGGCCTTGCAGAGAGAAGAAATTATAGTTATTTATTTCTATTGACTAGCAGGGAA